GCTCGGGGTAAAATTTCAGTACCAAAAGCGGTAAACCCCCCCCCCCAAGCTACACTCGGGCTTACCATGCGGCGTTGCTCAGGGAGTCCCTGCAGCACTTACCTTGTCCTTCGCTCCCGCGATGTGTCCCCTGCAGCGTCCCCGGCCATCTCCTCCGGCCGATGCCGGCATCCGGCTTCTGTGTTCCGTTCCCTGTGACGTCGGGACGTACGGGCGCTGGAACCGGCGGGAAATTTGACATTTTTAAAAATGTCATTTTTGCTGTCATTGCTGTTCATGAGTGCTCAATGCATTTCCCATACATTTTTGTCCCTACTGCTTTGTCCGGCGCCCTGCCTGCATTTTGACTGTTCTTTCTGCCTGGAAACTTAGAAAAGTCCATAGCGTCCAAAAAGCGTCCATTTAGGTCAAAAGCGGTTTTAGACCGGCTAGAGAACAGCGATAGTAAATCAGAACCTCTTGCAGAATTGAGTGATAATGATTCGTGGGGGAAATTCCTCATCAGACACTGAAAACGATTTTGCGACTTTGCTCAGCGATGTGCGAATTTGCTTCTGTATTTCACATTTCAGTGTTTTTGGTTTGATTATATTATTGAATTAAATGTATTATTATATTACTATTTATGATTTATTCAATTATAATTTATGATTTTGTGTATCAAATTTTATCCTACCCGGGATGTTTACTAGACTCTTGTTCGGACAGATTTCAGTGAGTTATTCCTAAAAATTACAGCCTACAATAAAAAAACTACATATTTCTATGCAAAAAAATGGTACGCTTTCAGCACAAAAGAAAAATCGGAAAGAATCAGACCGCCGAGGAGGTTAAGAAGGCAAGGTGCTAGAACTCGGAAGAGACAGCTGGCCTTACATGACATACATGCACTCTTCACTTGTGTGAATAAGCCCTAAAAAAAAAGGCCACATTTGAAAATAAAAATGCATGACCGATTTGTAGTTGGGAACACAGGTATTTATCTGCATGAAGGGACTGGTTTATGGCCGATTTATGGAATTCGTCATTCATAAGCCTCATATTTCTGGAAAACTGCATTTTCTGTCTACTGAGGTGCATGAGTGCTCAATACCTCTCGAGAATTGTGTTGCATAAAAGCTGAGCCCTCTGCAATCCTTTTAATTGATGGTGTTGTAAATAGAGAGCAAATTTGGAATACCTTAGAGAAATTGCTGCAATACAAGCATGATCAAAAAAGAACTAAAGCGAAAAAGAAGCGCCTAAGAGGTACTATATGTGAGGAGAATAACATTTAGGGGCAAGAATAAACTGGAAAGGTTCCAGAAGAGTGCCTAAAAGGATAACTGTACTTTCAGAGCCAATGGGAAAGGCACGGCTGCTGTCTCATGTCTCTGGTAATGCACAATATGTACAGTATGCCAATAACAGTCTTAAATTAAACCTTTAAGTAATTTCCGGTTTAAGGTGGCTCTTTTCTCTTGCGGCGTTCTATGGAGCCACCCTAGCATGCAGGAAGTAGAATGGAGTCTCCCTATTCTATACAGTCTGTGCATCAATAGAAACACAGTCCATATGGTCATTACTTACATATTTCTTGTTAAATTGGTATTAAAGGTCCGGCTTAAAAAAAGAAAAAAACCCTTTTCTGTGCAAATGTTTTGCACAGAACAGCCCCAATCCTCCTCTTCGTGGATCTGCCGCTGGCGCTCCTGGTTCCTCCCTCTTGACCAGCCACCAACAGAAAGCCACTTGTTTTGGGGGCACTAGTGCATGCTCGCTCTATAAAACACATAGAGCCTTGTCTCCGGTCCCACTCCCCCCCTCTCTCATTGGCTCACTGTCTGTGATTGACAGCAGTAGGAGTAAATGGCTGCCCCTGTTGCTTCAAGCCAATGAGAGGGAGTCCTGAGACATCTGAGTCTCCTATGCACATCGCTGGATCGAGTGGGGCCTCAGGTGAGTAGTGGGGGGGCTATGGGAAGGCAAAAAGCATTCAGCCTTTACAACCACTTTTAACTCATTGGCACAAATTATTAATGTAGTACTGTCCGTGATACTTTTTTTATTTGCACTAACATACAATTTTGAGGACAAGGTATGTCCCCTTCTTCAAAGTCCAAGCAGTACTATCACAAAGTTTCTGTGTGATTTGTGTAGTACTGCTTGGACCTTGAAGAAGGGGACATACCTTGTCCTCAAAATTGTATGTTAGTGGAAATAAAAAAAGTATCACGGACAGTACTCAATTGTTTCTGTTGCAAATGCACTAATACGGCTACAATCACCTCAAGCACAAATTACACTGTTCAACAGGTAAAAAGTTTTGGGCATAAAATTAGCTAATCTTACATAATTTTGGGGTGCTGAAAACGAAAATGACCCTAAAAAATGTTGATTGGCTCTAGTTTCCATGATATATTCACCCATCTAATGACGTAAGCCATTCAAAATTATGATGCAACTTCAGCTGCATATTGCGCAATTGATACTGGTGACCAATAGAAAATTGCATGTATACTGAGATGATGCAATATTAGCCTTTAATTGCATCACTTCACTGCATAAAAGCTGCAGTATCTGTAGCTGATTGGAGTTGGACAGCGTCTTTACATTTCGTTTTCTGCTTATATAGGCTACTCAGTAATGCCTCGAACTTGTGTGAATAAAGCAGATAATTTCTGCTATATCTGCGGTGAAATAACTTTTATCTCACAAAAAAGGAGGATAAAAGGAATGATTAAGAAAGCCTACAACTTGTATTTTGGCTGCAAGATAGGAGACCAGGACAAGAGCTGGGCACCACATATATGCTGCAATTCTTGTGGGACGGCACTGGAGCAATGGTTGAATGGAAAAAAGGCATCTATGCCTTTCGCTGTGCCAATGATTTGGAGAGAGCCAACAGATCATGTTAGTAATTGTTACTTTTGTATGGCGCCTCCAATTGTAAAAGGGCTAAATAAGAAGAAAAAGTTATCTGTGCACTATCCAAATATTCCATCGGCAATACGTCCAGTTCCTCATGGAGAGGGGCTACCAATTCCTAAAGCACCAGAATCCTTTGTGGTTGAGTCAAGTGAGGAAGAACCTGAAGCGTGTAGTCACGTGCAGTTGTAAGAGATAGCCCTTTCCTCGAATACAAGAGAAAAGCCAAGAGAAGAAAAACCGACACAAACTGAAGACAAAACTAGTGAGAATCCTAAGTATTCAAATGATTCAACTTAGCTTATGGCTATAATTTTTCTTGGTAATCCTATGCAATATGTTATGCCATTTAGGCTTTGTTATGTAGTCAATATCACTTGCTTTATATTTGTGGAAAGACATCTATCTATATAATTATTGTGCATTATGTAGTCATTACGCCTATAGTAGAAAACTTTCCGTTTACAGAAAAACTAGAGCCAATTGACAAATTTCATTGTTATATTTGAACTCAGAATGTGAAATTCATTAAGAAATGGATCCTTTTTTTTCCAAAACTGGCAAAAAATAAAAATTTGTTGAACAGTGTTATTAGTATTGCAAAAATTTTTTTTAGAAAACCCTTTTCAATGACTACGCACCCTTTTGTTTAATAAAAAGCAGGCGTTAATTAAAAAATGTCCCAAACAAAATGATATTCAAACTTCTGTAATTTGATACATGATCAGACATACAGTATAAGAAAAACAAAAAATGAACACAATCTAAAAGAACAAAAATGACATTAGGACTAATTCTTAAAATGGAACTCCAGCCAAACCCTTTGCTGTTGCTTATAGTAGGGTTACATCCCATACATTAGCGCGCAAATTTACCGGAAGGGTATTCTCTTTTTTATTTTGCCAAGGTAACAAGTATTTCTTATTCTCTAAATCTCATCGTAATTCCAAAGAATCACAAAACAGGTTTCTAGCACGACTCACAAAGTCACAATTAGAGTCTAAAATTTTAGAAATAGAATCAGTTTCATTAAACAGATTCCATTTTCAGCATAAAAGATCAGCATTTTCCCCAGACTGCAAAACCAAACAGTATCTCCATTCCTAAAAATATGCAGGACAGAAACCAGCCTTTGTGAATAAATACGGTCTGCAACCTGCTCCATAGTATTCGGAAGTGTGTGGTCTATTGTTACGGTGTAACAGATATCACAAGGAGTAATACAATATTCTCTGGAGGAAAATATCTGATTGTTCACTTATTTCAATGAACACTAGTCATTTCAAACAAGCATTGCTTATGTTCTCACCAGTGTACCATTTTCTGTGGCCCAAGGCAAAAGAAAAAAAAAAAAAGTATTTTTTTCAGCATTTGAAAAAAAAATTGATGCCGTTATACATGTTGGAAATTCCTTGTTTTTGGTGTGGAAGTATCAACCTTATTTTGGCACCACAAGATAATTTGTCATTTATATGTATGTGGTTTGACTGTGGAGGTGACATGTCAGTGCACATTCACAGCAGCTTAAAATACATTTATCACATTTTAAAAATGCTACTTTGCCTTAAAGCTGACAGAAAAAAAAAAAAAAAAAAAACACTTTTGTTGAATGAACAAATTCAGAGGTCAATAGCAGCCTGCTTTTCTCTCCCATGACAGGTTCCAAACAATAGAGGAAACTTTAAACAAGAAAAATTATAAATGCACATTTTTTTTTGCATGTGAAAAAAATGTGCATTTATTATTTTTTATTGCTGGAGCCTCTAAAGCACTGCACCAGTGATCAGCAGATCGCTGGTGCCATGCAGGGCTCCTGCAGACCTGTCAGTGTATCTGTGTGTTTGTGCCTCATACAGGCAAGCAGATACTTACTGATAGGAAGACTCAGTGAACTTCACATCGCCGTGGTAGTTCATTGAAAACTACAAGCCGACAAGGCTGTCAAAAACTTGTAGTGTTCTCATTCACGGTGGCCGTTTATAAATGGCCTTCCCGCACCCTGCTTGTGTGTACTCCCCGGGAGCGTGCAGCACCACGATCCAGTGCCTGCTGTGTCCACCGGACACAGAGAAACATCGATCGTCGGACTGGACCTCTGTACGAGGTCCCGATCATGTGATCACTGATAGGCCAATCAGTGATCACATGCAAAGTAGTAAGCAAGATGTCACTTGTGACATCATTGCTTACTACGTGTGAAATCTGTGAATGATCACAGAGGTCACATGGTACAGGGCTATTCACAACAGCCTTGTACCATGTGACAAGCTGTGACCAATCACAGCTCACTCAGTACTTCTCAATGACTGCAAGAATGCAAACAGAGAGAAAGAGAAAATTATTGCTTTTACATCCTATATGGGTGTAAAAGCAATCAGTGTAAAAACGTCAAGGAGAAGCCCTTGCACGCCTTGACGTCACGCCGCCGGATCAGGAGGTCCGGCGGCCACCCCATGGTTCCACTGGTCAGTGTATTTAGGATCTTATTATTACTCACAATCACCCTGTGCGTTTATGCTCATATTGTTACTTCATTAACTTTTATCTAAATAAAGCTTTACAATACTACACTATGAGCACTTTTATCTTTACTACTTGGCACGGAGCCTCCACACCTCAGCCCAGTATTCCAGGTACCTGTCCAGGCTGGAGAAGTAAGAGTGTTAGACCAGACCATTATCCCCGGCACCTGCCATCTGAGCGACCACCAGAGGATACTCCCATTACCAGGCTATACCTTTCACAGGACCTTCGGCTACATGAGATCTCTATACGCGCATTAAGATTGCGCTTCCGGTGAGTGGGCAATCTTTCTATACCTTCATGTCGGGATACTGGAACACACTCGTTTGGATTGAAGTCGTATTTATTACCTGGGACTGTTTTACCGTTCAGTTTATAGGACTCTATTACGTAGGACATATCCGGATTGATTGTATACACCATATGTATTTATTTTTTATAGCGCTGTACTCCCAATTTTAGGGTGCATTTTTATGTATACTGTACACTCAAGTACATACATGTACATACATGTACATTGATACACTGGCAAACAGAGAAAAATGAAGAAGGCGTACATTTTTATGTGTCTGTGCCATTGCATAAGCAAAGTATTTAAGAAACATAACTTGCATTTTTACGCGAGATCTTTCTGCAAGCAAAAACCTGCGTATAAATATTAGTAAGTCATTACATTACGTTCATGTGCAAAGGGCCTTAGTAAAAAAAGTAAAAAAAAAAAAAAAAAAAAAAAAATGAATAAAAAAAAACACACATACAATGCATTATGGCAACAGCCAGATATAAGATGCACACAACTAACATATTCCAAACATTGTTTTTATGATCGTTAAAAAAAAAAGTCACCATTTGCGTGTATCTTTTGAGTAGCTCCAAGACACCTACCACAATGAACATCGGTAGTACAATTACAACACACACTGCAGGACTTGTATGATAAACCTCAAAAAAAAAAGACAAAACATATGTCAGTCAACATGACAGATCTCACCTGGCAGCCCTTCTTGTGGTGAAACCCGACGACCACAATGTGCAGCACAGGTCCTCCTCGTCCCCGGCTTCCAGAGGTCTCTTCCCCAGCCTGGAGATCCATGACTGAACGTGGAGAGACTGAGGCAACTCTGCCGCAGCCACCAGAGCGATCCCCGACGTCTCTCTTTACCTGACACAGTAGTATGGATGTCTCTCTCCCCCTAGGAACAAAGCACAGTAAACAATATGTCCAGGTGAGGGCGAGTACTCCTTTCTTAGAACTTACACACACAGTTTATTGCTGTTTGCATACCCTACTCCTCTGCAACAGAAGACACTATTACCTCTCTGGTGGGCAGGAAGCCCAAACTCTGCTGTCTTTAGGCAGTACATGACCCCACATAGTCTTCATAACTTGACACTTCCAGGAGTGTCAAATGCCTGCAACCCCCACCCAGATCTGCATTTCCTTCTTCCAACCCCTATGTCACTACTGTGATATGGGGCTGGTGAGAGGATCTGCAGTGCGGGGCACCAACATCAAATGTATACATTTTTTAGACTTTGCATATCCCTGCAGCTTGATAATAGAGTTTGGACTTGCTGTCAGAGAGGCAAGTATCTGCCATCTTCTACTGCAAACGCCAAGCTTTGCATTATTTTGTGGAAAGTGACGGAGTCCCTTTAAAGCAGTGGTTCTCAACCTGTGGGTCGCGACCCCTTTGGGGGTCGAACGACCCTTTCACAGGGGTCGCCTAAGACCATCAGAAAACACATATTTCCGATGTGTAAAGAGCAGCTACTGTGTTGAAAGCAGCTACTGTGTTGAAAGCAGCTACTGTGTTGAAAGCAGCTACTGTGTTGAAAGCAGCTACTGTTGAAAGCAGCTACTGTGTTGAAAGCAGCAGTATTGGAGGTAAAACGACACTCATGAATTATAATTACTGGGTAAATAATTTTATGGTTGGGGGTCACCACAACATGAGGAACTGTATTAAAGGGTCACGGCTTAGGAAGGTTGAGAACCACTGCTCTAAAGGCTAGATTCACCTGTATAAAAGTAATTATTAATAATAATAATAATAATAAATGCACATGGTTCTACAGAAAAAAAAAAAAAAAGTACATTTATTTATTTAACATAAGCCTGCAAAGCATTGCACTTGCGATCAGCGAACTGAGGGTGCAAAGTCAGGCTCCTCTAGCTCTCTGATTGCACATCTCTGTTGGAGAACTGGAGGAAGATTCAATGGACTCCGAGAGTGCCGATTACTGCACTCATGTTCCAATGACAACTACAGTCCATCTGCTGCAGTGGAAGATGGGACTTGCAGTTCAATTATTCACGGATACCTCTGAATCAGTGGTTCTCCAAACTGTAGCCCGGGGACCAGATGTGGCCCTTTGCTTGCCTTTATCTGGCCCATGGGTACTATTCCACCAATTGGCACCAATGATGGGACACCATCGGTGGGGCACTACCAACAATGGGGCACTATTCCTCCCATTAAAAACCAATGATGGTGGTTTGTTTATGCTCAGTGATGTTTAGGCATTTGCAATCCCAACTGGCCACTATCTAGCCTCCATTAAAGCCTGAAGGACAGTAAGCAGACCTTTGCTGAGAAAGTTTGGAGACCCCTGCTCTAAATGAATGACACAGCCATGCGGCAGAGCCCTGCACAGTTGTGCCGATTTTAAATGTAACAATAGCTGAGGGGGGATAAGAACTACCATCCGCTGTCACAGGGGAGGGGCAGTGTGAGGGTGGAGGGGATACATTTGCACCATGGTACACCCTAAATACAAGTGTAACATGGTGCAAAAGGTGAACTTAGCCTATAACCACATGCTGCCCAGCCACTGTAGAAATACGTTGGCAGGGCGGCACGGCTGGGCAAAAACCACGTTTTAAAATGTGTGTTTGCAAAACAGGTAGGGGGCGCGTGCGAGGTGCGCCACCACCCTACCTGTCCCGCTGATCACAGCCGCGGAATGTCAGTTGTCGGGTCACAGCCGGTCGTTACCGGCTGTGTCCCGTCGATTAGCGGCAATCACTGACAGGGAGCAGGGCTGCAGTCAGTAGCTCTGCTCTCTGTCAGTTCCCTGTCAGCTCCTGACACGCTGAGAGCCGGAGAGAAGAGTTTCTCTCTCCCGATCAGCGGTTTCCCGTGCAGTACAGACCCCCCCCCCCCCTAGTAAAACACTCCCCTCACGCAGTTAACCCTTTCAGTCAATAAAAAAAGAAGTGAAATGAATGTTTTAAAATTGAAATATCCTCCTGCGCTCAACTATGAAATTATCTAATAAATAGCCAGCTGCTATCACCTATTCCCTATATCTCAGGATGTGTAAATCATAACAAAAAATGGTGAAGCGCTATGCAAATGCAACAAATCAGTGTATACACAAATATAGGTGAATAAATATACATTAATAAGCAATAATTTAAACGTGAGACTCCAATCTTTTAAATAATATAGAGTGACATGTGCTTAAAACAGCAACACACTCTGCAAAAAACAAGTGCCTGGTCTGCCAATAAAAACAAACACACCAGGTTAAATGAAATATATACCCAAAATAGATATACAGTGGGGATCGAAAGTTTGGGCACCCCAGCTAAAAATCTGTATTCATGTGCATAAAGAGCCAAGGAAAGATGGAAAAACTCTCCAAAAGGCATCAAATTACAGATTAGACATTCTTATAATATGTCAACAAAAGTTAGATTTTATTTCCATCATTTACACTTTCAAAATAACAGAAAACAAAAAAATGGCGTCTGCAAAAGTTTGGGCCCCCTGCAGAGTTAATATCTTGTACTGCCCCCTTTGGCAAGTATCACAGCTTGTAAACGCTTTTTGTAGCCAGCCAAGAGTCTTTCAATTCTTGTTTGAGGTATCTTTGCCCATTCTTCCTTACAAAAGTCTTCCAGTTCTTTGAGATTTCTGGGCTGTCTGTCACGCACTGCTCTTTTAAGGTCTATCCATAGATTTATGTTGAGGTCAGGAGATTGTGAAGGCCATGGCAAAACCTTCAGTTTACGCCTCTTGATGTAATCCCCCGTGGATTTCGAGGTGTGTTTAGGATCATTATCCATTTGTAGAAGCCATCCTCTCTTTAACTTCAGCTTTTTCACAGATGGCATCAAGTTACCATCCAAAATTTGCTGAAATTTTATTGAATCCATTTTTCCTTCTACTCGTGAGATGCTCCCTGTGCCACTGGCTGCAACACAACCCCAAAGCATGATTGATCCAACCCCATGCTTAACAGTTGGACAGAGGTTCTTTTCATTAAATTCTGTGCTCCTTCTTCTCCAAACGTACCTTTGCTCATTCCGGCCAAAAAGTTCAATTTTAACCTCATCGGTCCACAGAACTTGTTTCCAAAATGCATCAGGCTTGTCTATATGTTCATTTGCAAAGTTCAAACGATGATTTTTTGTGGTGAGGACGTAGAAGAAGAGGTTTTCTTCTGATGACTCTTCCATGAAGACCATATTTGTACAAGTATCTCTTTATAGTGGAATAGTGTACCACAACTCCAGTGTCTGCCAGATCTTTCTGGAGGGATCGTGCAGTCAAACGTGGGTTTTGAATTGTTTTTCTCACAATCCTGTGAGCTGTTCTGTCTGATATTTTTCTTGGTCTTCCAGATCTTGCTTTAACTTCCACTGTTCCTGATGACTGCCATTTCTCAATTACATTCCGAACAGAGGATATTGACATCTGAAAACGCTTTTGCTATCTTCTTATAGCCTTCTCCAGCTTTGTGAGCCTCAACTATTT